AGGTTGCGAACCCCTCCTCCCCCACCACCAACTCCATTCTGGGAACTTCTCTACCAAACAAGGTGAGAGGCTCCGCCTCCTGGAAGGCAGGCCCCAGTCTCATATGCATGGTCTTCAGCTGCCCTGACCGCATACATCATGCCTTCTCCATCACAAACTACCTTCTCCCACCCCGGTCTCTGCTCGTGGTGCCCCTGTCCACAACATGTTCCTTCCATCTCTTCCTCTTATTCAACTAAGAACCATCCTTTAGACAGACCTCAATTCAGATTCACCTCCCCGAGAAAGCCTTCCCCTGTCCCTCCTAGGTGCTCCCAGGCTCCCTTGTATGCCCCCCAGCACGGAACTTATTTTATACACTCCTTCTGTGGTAGCTTTCTCACCATCTGTCACCCCGACTAGAATTCGAGCCCCAAGCCTCTTGTTCGTGACCGTATTCCAAAACAAGGCATGGCATCCTAGACCCAGTGATGCCCAAGAAATGTTTACTCACTGAACGAACTGCAATTCTGTGAGCTTCTTTGTCATATAATCACTTACAACTCAGTGCATCTAAAAGAAATCGTGATTTAGGTTCCAGATGATGAAGTCCAAACCACTGGCAATATCACTGGGAGTCCAACACAAGTCATATAAATAACAGGCTCAAATCTGCACCACGGGCAGCCGAACACCATCCATTCTGAATCTACTGTTGTGGCATGAGCTCCGCAGTATAACCACGCGCTCTGTCACCAGGATTCCCAAGCGTTAAACTGTTTTGCTCCGCAGTGAAGAATGCTCGTAAAGAGGGGGCTCTCCTCCACCAGAACAGCTTGTGCCGCTGGACTGAAAACAACTCATCTTTAGAAGTGTGTAAGTGCACACGGCCCCCACAGGAAGGACCCACGCTGCTCCGATGTGACTGCTCAAGTCCAGCAACCCGTTGGGACCTTGGACTGGAGCTCAGGGACCAACCATCACCATCACTCAGCGGCCAGAGACAGGAGGTGAACTGCGGGACTACAACAAAGGATACCAAACAGGCGTTAACCCACAAACTTTCGAATGGAGCGACTGATCAGAGACATGGTCATTTGTCAAGACCGAGGCAAAGACGACAGGGAGAGAGAGTTCCAGCACGAAGACGAGACGGCTCCACTCAGGAGAGACAGCTTCCCGCTGCGGTTCAGAACGAGCCCAGTGTGGCCGCGACCACCTCCAGCGGGGAGACACCTGCAGCCTGCCTGCCCATTTCCGGTAGGTGCGAAGTGCCCATGTGAAACCACCCAGCCGGCCACCTTCTCCGTGCAGGGCACCCGCCAGGCTCTCTGACACAAGGAGGGAACCTGGCAGCCTCTCCTAAGGTGATGTATCCTGACTGACACCTGCTCCGTTCTCAATCTTTCCCACCCTCATTTCCTAAGTGCGTGTTTCCCTATTTCCTTTTCTCACCACTCCATGCCCATCTTCCGTCAGTAGCCAGAAGCCTTCCCCTCAATGACTCCTGAGGACGGCACCTCGTCTCATGATGTGCCACAAAGGTTCTCAAAGTCTCTCTAAAGGACAGAACATGCTCACCCGTTCTCCTATCACCATCTCTCCCCCTAAAAAATTCTCACAAGGAACTCCGCGCCAACCCACCCAGGCCTCTGCTAGATCCTCTCAGCAGGCCATCAGATGCTCTGGGGGCCCATGTCCCACAAACAGCAAATGTGAAAGCAGCTGAAAATTCCAACTCTGACCTCATTCCAGAACTTCAATCCCACATTTCCAACACCTCTTCTGTCTTGGTTTCCACTTCTCTTCCCTCTAACGGCTCTCAGTCACTCTGGTTTTAATCTCTGGATCCTTTCGTCCCCAGATCTGAAATCCACCTCCCCTTGGTAGTTTCTCACACTGAAACCCTTTTGCTTTCTATTCCCACTCCTGGGAAGCTTCACACCCAGGCCACTGTTCTCAGCAGCGTGCATTCGGAAAATACCGTTCCAGAGCTAGCTGCACCTCCTCCGATCCAACCTGTATACCACCAGCTGCTATTTTTACCCAAAACACAGCTCTTATGTGGTAATGTGCAAACTCTTTCTCTACTCCATAACCCTGGAAAAATAAGTATAAAACTTAAAGGGGGTTAGCGTTCGAGATCTTCAATGATCTGCCGCGAACCTATTTATTCAGCCTGCCTTTGCAAAACTGAAGATTCATTTGAGACTCTACATGTAATGAATCCTCCTCTTCCCCTAAAAAGATGCTCCAGGCAGAAACCCAAATGCAAGTATTCTGACCTAGGAAAGAGATCTGAAAAGGTAGGGCCTGCTTTTGTAAATCCAGTTCCCCCGGAGCCCAGCTAGGCCCACCCCTTTACTGCTGCCTGCTCTGCTTATACTCTGTCCAAGCAGGCAGAGGACCCATAAACAGACCACAGGCCCTACATCTTGAGGATCTTGCCCCTCGCGGAACAAGTCTGCAGACCCTGGACTGAAGGACTTAACGGGATTCCTCCTACTGCCTCTCTAAGGAGGAATGCGGCAAGGGTGGAAGAGGAGGCGTCCTCAGGAGACTGGAGCCAGAACCTCTAGGCCAGAGAGCACACTGGGTTCCAGGACTGGAAGCAGCAGCGACCAGTGAGGAGGGGGTGAGTCATGAAGGTGGTCAGGATGTGAGAGAAAGACAGGAACCACGGAAGACACGTATAGTTTCCGGCCAGGTGCCACCTTCAGCGAAGATGAGGACTGCCATGGGCAGATCAGGCTTTTGGAGAAAGACCAGATCCACAACTGAAAAGCGTAACTCATGCCAGCTGTTCTCCTGCAGAGGCGCCTCCAACAACTCCCTATCCTTTCAGAGTAAAAGCCCAAATCCTTGCAATGGTGTCTGAGGGCCCACACTATCCCACCCTTCTTTTACTGATGTCATCGGACTTCCTGACTGCTATACCTGTTTTTGTGCCCCACCCCCAAATTCGTATGCTGGGACACCTTTGGGAAGTGATCAGGTCGTAAGAGCACAGCCCCCATGAATGGAATCAGTACCCTTTAAAAAAGACCTCACAAAACTCGGCTTTCCCATTAGATGATCCACCAGGTGACAGGGCAAGAAAACAGCGGAATCAGACCCTCTCAGACACCAAATCCGCCCATGCCTCATTGATCTAGGACTTCCCAGTGAACAGAACTCTAAGGAATAAATTCCTATTGCTCAGAAGCCACCAGGCTATGCCCTTTTGTTACAGCAGCCCAGAATAGACCAAGACCTCTACATTCACTCCGCCCCAGCTACAGTGGCCGCCTCCTCTTCCCAACCACATCAAGCACACCCCCATCAGGCCTCCACACCTGATCTTCCCACTGTATGGGACGCTCTCGTCCTCAAGTATGTGCACAGCTGCTTCTCTCTCCACCTTGGCTCAAATATAACCTTCTCAGAAAGGCTTTCCTAGGACTTCCCACATAAATGCCACCAGCCAGTACCCCTTCCTGGCCCATTTGTCCTTTCCACCCTCTTCGCTTAATTTTTCTCTACCATATTATCTTCTCATGTAACTTGCTCAATCTATCTCCTCCCCCTCCTAGAATGGAAGCTTCCCAAGAGATCAAGGATGTTTGCCTTTTTTCGTGCTGCTACAATCACATTGCCTAAAACACAGCATGTGACCTATAAATACTTTTAGGATGAAACTGGCACAAAGAATAAATACAATTTATTAAAGATCCAAGAGAACTTCACTCATGCTCCTGGGGTTTTAAGGGGAAAATAAAAATGCACGCATACACGCCTACACAGTGCAGCTCAACTCCAACAATGAGTTAACTGCTTCCCTTCCATCCAGAATGCCACTGCATGACCCCTTCCTCTCTCCCCTGTTCTCAACACTTAAAACATCTGGGATCACCACACAGATAATGCACTTTAAAAAAAAAAAAAAAAAAAGAGCAGCTTATCTTGATAGCCTGTAGCCTACATTCCTTTCTGGTCTCCTCACCACAGCCACTCTGCCCTCTGCACCGACCTCATGTCAACCAGACACTGGTCCGCTTCTTAAAGGCACCCTGCTCCTTCTCACCTCATATCCTTCCCACCTGTTAGTCCCTCCATGGAGAAAGTTCCTCCCATATCTCTGCTGCTCGGCATTCAGATCTCCTCATCTCACCTCCCCAAAAACGTCCTGCCCTCCAACCCAGCCAAGAGACAAGACCACCATTTCAATTCCTCCTTTATGTTCAGGACATTTAAAATACTCTACAGTCGTACTTGGACACGTGTCTTACTTTTACGAGCAGATCATCTATTTTGTTCACCACTGTGACCCTGGTGCCTAGAACACTAGGAAGAAAGAGTGATAATTTAATTCAATCTAGGAGGGAGGGCGTGTCCTACTTTGCCATTAAAGGCACTGACCCTAGAAGCTAAGAAACTCTCGATATCGGACAACGAAGAGATCTGCTCAGAAATAAGCACCTGGGACTATTTCCACTACCTCACAGGACTTGGAGTCAGACACTAGCAACGCCTCTTCTGTCACTGTAGAGAGCAGGCCATTCCGCTGTTAGAAACGTCCAGTGACTGCAAGCTTTTAACTGACGAATGACCCTCCCAGCCAACCCGCACGTCGCGCCTCCAGGCAAAAAATATCTCAGGGTGACCCAGAGCAATCGAAAATCTCATCCCTCCGAGAGGGAGCTTCCCTCTGCACTTCGCCCATCACTCGTCAAGCTCGAAGTCAGCCCCGGGGAGCCCTGAGACCGGGTAAGTGAAGGAAGGGGCCCTCCAGATCTCACTCCGCGCCCCCCGCCCTGCATCCCGGCAGATGAGTCCTGGGTTGCAAGCCTAAATAAAGCAAGAGAGGCGGTTCCCCCAAACAACTGCAGTAGAAAGGGGAGCGGGAAGGGGAGGAGGGGGAGCTTCCGCCGAGGAGCGCGAGCAGCGCGCGGGGGCGCAGCCTGCGCGGCCAGACCCCCAGCCCCGCGCCCTGGCTGGCCGGCTGAGCTCCTCCGTGCCCTGGGCCCGGGAAGGCGCCGCACCTGCTGCAGGGAGGCGCAGCCCTGACACCGCGAGAGGTCCGCCGCCGTCCCGGGCGCCGCCGAGTGGGTTTCGCCCGGCATCATGGTGCCAACGCCGGGCCCTGTGGGCCCGCGCGCCTCAGGGACCCGCGGCCTCGGCCCTGTCCTCCCTCTGCTGACGCCGCCGGGGCCGCCGCCTGCCAGGCCGCTTCCCGCCGAGTCCGGGCGGGTCCATCCGTGCACAGAGGTCCCCGTGGAGCTGGCGAAAGGCTCTCCCGAACGGAGCCGCCTCGGGCACTAGAGAGAAACGCGACCCGGCGCGGCCCCCGAACGCGACACCGCTCAGCCAGGACCCCGCCCCGCCCTAGGTCGCCCCGCCCCTCGCCGCGGCATGGGGCTGCCCGCCGTGTCGCCTGAGCAAAATGGGAAGGGGGGGCCGGGCCGAGGCGACGGGAGAGGCGCCCACCAAGGAAGAGTCAGGTCGACCAGAGGCACCGGAGGTGCACTCCTTGTGCCATGTAGGGGGTTAATCTTTTATTGCCGGCTTGCTGTGGGACAGACTTTCCATAGACACCTAAAGCCTTCAGCGAGGGGGCGGTGACCCCCTCCATGATGACGTCACTCAGGCGCCGGCTAGACTGGAAGGACCCGCACCCGGACCGGCAGGTGTGCGATTTGTAACCGGAGGGAACCGCTCCGTGCGAGTCCGGCCGGGTGCCCCGAGGAGCTGGAGGACTACGGTTCCCGACGCCCCGCGCGGCGGACGCCCCCGAGCGATCCTGAGGCCGTGCCGGGTGCGCTTGAGCGCCTCGCCGCGGCCTTCGCGACGGCGGTCCGTCCTTCCCGCCCGCTCCCCGCTGCGGTCCGTTCGTCGGCTTGGAGGCCCGCCCGCGGCCCGAAGCGCAGACCGCGGCCAGCCACCGCCAGATCCCGGGTTCATGCCTCTAAAGAGGGAAAAAGTTAAAAGTCCTCTCCCCGCGGTTACTGGGTACAGTCGGGCTCCGACCCTCTCCTTGAACGAGGTCTTTCACCTTCTCCCCCGCCACCAGGATGCGCTTCTCCAGGGTCGCTGCCTTGCGCAGAAACTTGCCGAGCCTTCCCGGCGTCTGGCGACAGAGTCCGAATTCGTGGCGTCCGGTTCGAGCGACGTCCGTGTGGAGGGGACGTGCGGGCCTCGCCAGCTCCTGCCCAAGCGTTCCGCACGGACCCGCAGCTGGAAACAACCCTTCCAGGAAAGCGGTCTGGTTCCTGCCCCAACGCCACCCCCTGCCCTTTTGCGCAGAACCTGCGGCTGGCACGTGCTGTGCCGTGAGGACCCGGCGTCCTAGACCTGACAGCGGCGCTTCTCGTCCCTGACGCCTCCGATGGCGCCTGGGAGAGGAGCTGCTTTGATGGGTCCATTTACCCAAGAGCAGAGACGAAGCCAGGCTTAGAGGGAAAGGCGGAGTGCGCAGCGGCCCGGCGGGAAGCAGACGTGCCTTGGGAGACCCTCCCCACCCCGCCGTGGGGCCCATGAGAGAAAGGGGAGAGGAGACCGTGTATGCGCCCTGATGATTTTCCATTTCTGGCTTCGCATCCCAGACAAATAGGTTTTCGCAGTAACTTCCCTTTTATTTAAGGTTTCCCAAGTGAGCGTTGTGTTTTGTTGTGTTTTGTTTGCAGATGACTTTAGTGGGAACACCAGCGTAGCCTTCAGCCTCTTCTTTCTCTAGGCGGTCCGCCCGCACCCACCGCGCACCTCCTGTCGCTGGCACTCAGAGCTCTCACGCCGCCTTCCTGCCTTTGTCTTTGCGGGAGGCTTTCCTCCCAGCCCCACCAGCTAGAATCAGCCAGGTAGTCCTTCCAGCACCCGGAGTGACACCTGCCTTCTTTTCTGCACTCTTTTTTTTTTTTGGCGGCGGGGGGGGGGGGGGGGGGTAACAAAACATTTTGACTAGGATCACAGTGACGTTCATGTCTTCTAAGACCTCTCCGTTTTTCTTTTAAACCTTGTGAAGTGCTGTACACAATAGGTGTTCGGCGAGTGTCAGAGCGGACCAAATTTGCTGCAACTAATTGAAGGTAAAAAAGAAAAAACACTCGTTCCGAAATGAAAGTGCATTTGTTTCTCCTTCTGCCTATCTCAAACCGTCCTTAAAGCGTTTAGAGAAAGAAACAAAAGTCTTGTTTGTGTAATGCAGCATCAGCAAATGCTCTGTAAAGGGCCACATGGTAACCGTTTTAGGCTTTGGGGGCACTACAGATCGCCCTTCGTATTTGTCATTAGTTTTTGGTTGGTAAAGAACCACCTAAAAACATAAAACTTGGGCTCTGCCTGGCTCTGTCAGTGGAGCATGTGACTCTTGATCTCAGGGTTGTGAATTCGAGCCCCAGGTTAGGTGTAGAGATGACTTAAAATCTTTTAAAAAATGTAAAACTCGTTCTTACCTTCCAGGCTATACAAAAACACGTTGTAGGTAATAATGGGAATTGATATAGGCCACTCACTGAGGAATCCTGAAAATTGGGTTTTTCCTCTTTCCCACATGAGGAGCCACAGCTGTTCGTCATTGTGATGGAAACAAGCGTCTGTGCCGCAGAGAGCCCTGAATAGTGAATTTAGACACAGCTGGCTATAAATTCTCAAGTGAGTGGCCATCTGAGCTAGTATTCCCCTACAGAGCATTCACTGTCATTTAAGTGGAAGGTGACCAGGACAGGACCAAATCCACGAGATCTGCTATGCAGAGAGTAGTTCGTAACAAGCTATCGATGGCGCGATCCACTTGGGAAAACAAATGCGTCTTTAGCTTACTCACAGAAAAAATAGTAGGTGGTTTTGGTTTTCGTTTTGGGGTGTTGCTCTTTTTTTTTTTTTTTAAATCATTTTTCTTATCAAATTTCCAAGAAAAATGTTGCGTTTTTGTGTCCGTGTCACCAGACCTGGAGGGATGTCTAGATTCTGGCTTCTGAGGTGGGGGCTTCCTTGTGGCTGTGGAGTCCAGTCCACTGTTCAGAGAATCTGACTCTAATATAAAAGTCACAGTCCTTGCCTCACGGCCTCCCAGATGCTCCGTCACTTCTCCAAATTAGAGTGTAACATAATTAAAAGGCTAGTTACACTGATTATTTATTAACATGTGCTTCCACTGAAATGGCTGATAGATTATCATCATATGAACTCAAAGTAAAAAGCGATTTGTTCTCTGGAAGTTCCTATATTTTGCTTCATGAAGAGCATTCTTTCATTTGATGCACTTACCCGTAATGAAAATAAACCGTGTTACATTATTTCCTTTAAAAACCCCAGACATGTTTTATGGAGTCCGTGGCGGTTCTAACGCTGATGTGGTGACAGTATCAGATTAAGTTCGATGCATTTTCCGCTCCGAGATGTAATGCTGACAAATGGCCACAGGATGCCAGTCTTTCCCTGTGTCCTAGAGACAAAGGGCCCTTTCCAACAGATTTCTGCTCTCTTCTGCCGAGTCCCAGGGGGAGGCATTCTTCAGGGTGCCTGTGCCCCTTCACTGTCCCCCACATGTGGTCCTAAGTTACCTTTGCTCCAGTGTTTCTTACTGTCCTGGGTTAGGCAGTGATCTGTTCCTGTGGGCAGCAGAGGCCCTGGACCCTCGCTTAGAGCCCAGCTTCCACCCTGGAAGTGATAGAGAGCTAGGGGGAAAGAAGGGTGCTCCCTGGCAGAAGCTCACTCAGCAAGCAGAAGAATCCATTTCCGAAAACAAGCATCGTTTGCAATAGAGCACGGAACCGACACGACTTACTAACAAGCACAGTTTTAAAGGACTCTCACAGTGACTCTCTTCAGGGGAATAGGGGATCACTCCCTTTGTGGGGTATCTTGTGAGCACCAGGCAGCTCTAACAGCTTGTCTCCTAAGACGCTTCATGTGGCTCCGGGGATTTGGAGGAGGGAGGTGGCTGGGGGGCAGGGGGGAGAAGATGCTGTTCGGGTTGGTGGTCAGGGTGCAGGGCAACCACCTCCAAGAAGAGGCGGGGGGGGAGAGGGAATGTGGGGTGAACCACTCCAAGCTAGACCTGTGCCCGGCGTGACTCCGTGGGAACTGGGAAGGCCATTGTGGTGGGAGATACCCAAGGCTGTGGGGATCGGGGCAGGGAGCACTGGGAGCAAGAGGCACTTTGGCATGGGACAAAAGGAAGGGTTTTTTGGTTTTTGTTTTTTTTTTAAGATTTTATTTATTTGACAGATCACAAGTAGGCAGAGAGGCAGGCAGAGAGAGAGGAGGAAGCAGGCTCCCCGCAGAGCAGAGAGCCCAAGGTGGGGCTTGATCCCAGGACCCTGGGATCATGACCCGAGCCGAAGGCAGAGGCTTTAACCCACTGAGCCACCCAGGTGCCCAAGGAAGTGTTTTCTGTGCACTAGGTACTGTGGGCCTCTGGGTGGAAGCAGTCCAGGGACCCAAGAGCTCAGCCAGGAGGCAGGTAAGATGCCTGGCCAGTGTTCTAGATGCCCAGGGCCGAGGCAGAGTGGAACCATGCAGCTGGAAGTAAATGTGGAAAGCCACACTGGGTGTGGCTTCCAGTGCAGCTGGAAAGGGCCAGCTCCGGTCACCTCCTAGGTGAGCTACCAGCTGCAGATCATGTCAGGTGCTCAACAAAGTCTTTCCGTTTCTCCAAGGCATTCAAGAACTCCCCGGCCCTCCTCACAACAGGCATGCAGCTATGTTCTCCTGGTTGAATGTCAGCAGCAGGGGCCCAGCTTATAAGGCCCTTTCATGCTCTTTAGTGTCTGCCCACGAGAGCAGACATGAACCCCAGGACACAGTCAGCGATGAAGCTACTGTCTCAGCCCCAAACCTCTCCTTGTGTATCCTGCCTTGCGATACTGGGACCGTAGGGTCTCACGTCCACCTTGCCTACTGGGGTCCCACAGACTGCTAACAGGCAGTGCTCTTTGTTCACAATGATGGGAGGAGGGGGAGGGGCCTCAATTTTCCTCCCATCAGATTCCACGTCCTGTCCGTGTCGCTTGGACCGCTGCTGGGACGTCTGAATTTGAGCTCCAGCAGGCATGACCTTCAAGTATCCTTGTTTTGCTCATCCCATCCTTTTCCCTACACAGAAGGTCCCTGCACCAATACAAGGAGGGTCTCACCCCAACAGCAAGTTCATCAGGCTCACACTCTGGTCCAAGCAGGTCGTGAACTCAAGTCACAGCAAAGTAGCCTTGAGAGAGGGTGTCTTTATCTCCTGGTCCCCTCTCCTCCCAGCCC